TATACCGTGAAATACCCACATCCCAACCTGAAATTAATTAACTAATTAAGTGAATTCCTAATCAAAGAACTTATTCTAAACAACAAGTCAAAAATTCTAATGATAAATCGACTAGGAAATAAACAAAAAATAAGAATAAACTAAACAATTTAAATTCTAAGATTTAACCAAAAACTGGGAAAATGACTCCTACAGGCACAATAACCCACATTTCTCTAATTTTTATATGCTTTAATAAATGTGTCACTAGAACTTGATTCAATAGGATAGAAAAATAAAAATAAAAAATCTAGAAAACTTAACTTTTTTAATCCATAAACTAAATGAATGCATGATTTTGGAAGACTGTTCAGGCTGTTCATAACCCAATCAGGACAGATCTGATCATGCGGGCCGACCCGCTCCATGACCTATGACCCGCTCCATGACCTATGACCCGCTCCATGACCTATGACCCACCCCATGACCTATGACCCGCCCCATGACCTATGACCTGCTCCATGACCTATGACCCGCTCCATGACCTATGACCCGCCCCGTTAGGCGTCTACGTGTTCATGTCTGTGGTTTCAACAAGGTGTTGCGCAATTCTGTGCGTTTTGGTTCCATTACCAAAATAACTAGCAGAGCAGGAGTTTAAATTAACTAGTCAACCAGCGCCGTGTTCATGAGAGGATTATTAATGATCACAAAATAAATATCAAGGCCCTGAAAACCTAACGATGTAACGGACTGAACCAGTATAAAATTACATAATTTTTATTTATTCACTAGAAGTCTGACCCGACCAAAAGGCAACGACAGTTTGATGAATCGTGGTTTTACTGTCAGTGTGTCGGTCATCTGCTTGGCTGCTGCTAGAACAGCAGCATCTTCAGGCCTTACACTGATCAATCATTCAGCCTTCTATGGCTCAACTGATTTGTAGTTATAGTATTTATGGAAACAAGGATTGATTTCACCCAATCATAACCCAGATTCATTACTTTCTGTTTTCTCTGCTCTGATTGAATGAAAATCAGTTGATTTAGTTGTGAATGTCCACAGAGTAACACTGGACAGGGGACATTTGTCCTCCATCTCCTCCTTTCAGCCTCATGGACAATGTTAGTTTCATGGCTTCAATTTGTCCACTTTTTCCAGGACCAGCAGTTGGAGACTCAACCTCTGCTGGACATGAAGTCAGAGGGACAGAAGGACAACCTGTCTCACTCAGCTGTAACTACGAGACAACATCTGGGTCTCCTGTCCTCCACTGGTCCAGACGTGGTTCTGACCTTCAGGCTCCTGTTTGTCCTCTAGAAACAACATGGTTCCTGATCATGGATCCACTGAGCTGACCATCAGTTCTGTTTTTCTCTAAGTTTCTCACCAATAACTGCCTGTAAATATTGATGAGTTTGATTATTAATAATTTGATTCAAGTTGTAACTTGAGTCTCAGAGTTCGGGTTTTTCACAGCAGGGGGCTTTTATCCAGTGATGATCAGATGCATCTCTTCTCCAGCAAAACTCAGTCTGAAAAACTTCATCAGGTTCTATTCAGCTCTGCAGAGGCTGAAAACCAATCATTGATGTGATTCAGGCCTGTTGGAGCCGTGATGCCTCCAGAAGTTACAGAATGCTGGTTTTTGGGCGACTCTTCTTCTTCTGCAGCAGAACATTTCAGCAGAAAGCTCTGCAGCATCTGGTGGTTTGTGGAGGAGAGATGAGTCTCTGATCAGGTTCATCAGAGAATCAGACTGAGGTACAGAACATCGGCTCAGCCTCAACC